GACTAATGGAAGCACATGCACAAAGAGAAGAGATCAACTAAGTGAGGATCCGGAACACCACATCAAACATAAACTTGACAATGAGAGACTAGACTTAGTGGAAAGTACATGCACAAGGAGAAGAGACTAACTAAGCAAAGATCCGGAACATGAACTTGACAAGGAGAGGCTAGACTAGTGAAAAAGCACATGCATATGAAGGGAAGATCAACCGGAACATCACTCCAAGTATGAACATGACAATGAGTGGCTAGACTAATGAAAAAGCACATGCATATGAAGGGAAGATCAACCGGAACACCACACCAAGTATGGACATGACAATGAGTGGCTAGACTAATGAAAAGCACATGCACATGAAGGGAAGATCATTCGGAACATTACACTAAGTAGGAACATGACAATGAGTGGCTTAGACTAACTGAAAGCACATGCACATGAAGGGAAAGATCATCCGGAACATCACATCAAGTATGAACAAGACAAAGAGATGCTAGACTAATGAAAAGCATATTCACATGAAGGGAAGATCATCCGGAACATTACACCAAGTATGAACATGACAATGAGTGGCTAGACTAATGAAAAGCACATGCATATGAAGGGAAGATCAACCGGAACATCACTCCAAGTATGAACATGACAATGAGTGGCTAGACTTATGAAAAAGCACATGCATATGAAGGGTGGATCAACCGGAACACCACACCAAGTATGGACATGACAATGAGTGGCTAGTTTAATGAAAAGCACATGCACATGAAGGGAAGATCATCCGGAACATTACACTAAGTAGGAACATGACAATGAGTGGCTTAGACTAACGGAAAGCACATGCACATGAAGGGAAAGATCATCCGGAACATCACATCAAGTATGAACAACACAAAGAGATGCCAGACTAATGAAAAGCAAATGCACATGAAGGGAAGATAATCCGGAACATTACACCAAGTATGAACATGACAATGAGTGGTTAGACTAATGGAAAGCACATGCATATGAAGGGAAGTTCATCCGGAACATCACACCAAGTATGAACAAGACAAAGAGATGCTAGAGCTAGATGGAAAGCACATGCACATAGAGGGAAAATCAACCGGAACATCACACCAAGTATGAACAAGACAAAGAGATGCTAGACTAATGAAAAGCACATGTATATGAGGGGAAGAACAACCGGAACATTACACCAAGTATGAACAAGACAATGAGATGCTAGACTAATGAAAAAGCACATGTACATGAAGGGAAGATCAACCGGAACATCACACTAAGTATGAGCATGTCAATGAGATGCTATAACTAAATGGAAAGCACATGCACATAGAGGGAAGATCATCCGGAACATCACATGCTATTACGTGAGTGAAAACAAGAGTCTAAGTAGGCAAGATCACCAAAGTTGAACCATAGGTCATCTATGAAAGAAGCGCTATACTACCTACTAGTGTGAGTGTGAAAAACACAAGTTTGGAGAGCCCAAATCACCAAGATTGTATCATGGATCACTCATGGGTGAAGCGCTACACTANAGTGTGAGTGTGAAAAACACAAGTTTGGAGAGCCCAAATCACCAAGATTGTATCATGGATCACTCATGGGTGAAGCGCTACACTACCTACTAGTGCGAGTGTGAAAAACACAAGTTTGGAGAGCCAAAATCACCAAGATTGCATCAAGAAGCATCCATGTGTGAAGCGCTACACTACCTACTAGTGTGAGTGTGAAAACCACAAGTTTGGAGAGCTCAAATCACCAAGATTGTATCATGGATCACTCATGGGTGAAGCGCTATACTACCTACTAGTGTGAGTGTGGAAAACACAAGTTTGGAGAGCCCAAATCACCAAGATTGTATCAAGAAGCATCCATGTGTGAAGCGCTACACTACTTACTAGTGTGAGTGTGACAAACAGAAGGTTGGAGAGCCAAAATCACCAAGATTGCATCAAGAAGCATCCATGTGTGAAGCGCTACACTACCTACTAGTGTGAGTGTGAAAAACACAAGTTTCGAGAGCCCAAATCACCAAGATTGTATCATGGATCACTCATGGGTGAAGCGCTATACTACCTACTAGTGTGAGTGTGAAAAACACAAGTTTGGGGAGACCAAATCACCAAGATTGTATCAAGAAGCATCTAGGAAAGAATCGGAGTACTACCTCCTAGTGCATAAGTGAAAGAGAAGAGTTTGAGTAGCCCATGGAAGAGAGAAGGTGAAGTAAGAGAAGATGGAGGAGAAGGGGAGGGAGATGAGGGAGATGGAGATGGAGAAGAAGGGGAGGAAGACAAGGAGAATGAAAGTGAAGAGGAGGAAGGGGGAGATGAAGAGGGGAGAGAAGAGAAGGAAGAAGGAGGGAGTGAGGAGGAAGAAGAGGAAGAAGAAGGAGGAGAGGAAGAAGGAGAAGAAGAGGAAGAAGAAGAAGAAGAAGAGGAAGAGGAAGAAGAAGAAGAAGAAGAAGAAGAAGAAGAAGATGGAGGTGAAGAAGTCTCTTCCTTTCTCTCACCTTGTTGATTCCTTGATGTTGGTGTCCTCTTGATGAAGCTTCCTCTCCTTGCACAATCCCCCCCTTGGCTATGGCTTCCTTCTTCTCCAAGCCCTTCTCTCCTCCTTCCTTGCTCTCCCTCAGGCTATGGCAAGCTCCCCCAGCTATGGCTATGGAGTCCTCCCCTCTAGGAGGGCTAGTGGGGCTCCTCTAGCCTCTCCTTCTCTCCTACACCCAGGAGGGATATGGCGGATCACCTCCCAAGTGTCTCTCTCACCATCGCTCTCCTCTAGAGTCCTCCCCACTACCTCCTAGTCTCCTCTAAGCTCTCCCACTAGCATGGGTTCCTCCCTCCTCACTCCAAGTGCAAAGATGCTCTTGTGAGCTCACTTGGGCAGCATGGGCACTCCTCATGCAAATGTGAGAGTGGCGGACTGCATCCTCAACTTGTGTAGGCTGAAACGAGCAGTCCGGCCAACCCATGAGCCTCCCCATGAGCCTTGAGGTGAACCGAGGTACCCCCAAGGCAAAATTCCCTCACTAGGCCCTCCTGGAGGTACTCGGGCCTCATTTTGGCCAAGTACATGCAGTCCGAGTGGTTGGTACCAACTCGGACTGCCTCTTGGCCTAGTCCGGCCTCCTTTTTGCCTCACAAATGCTGCCCCCTTGGGTCCTAGTGCCCAAGGGGCATTTTTACTTCAAAGAAAAAGGCCTTGTGGGCCTTTCTCTTGATTTTTTCAAGTTTCGGCCTCTTTTGAGTAGGCCGGAGCATTTTTTCATATGGCGGCACATTTTCAGCCTTGGATCTGGTTGAGATCCAAAGCCAGCAATAATCGGAGCTACCCCCTAGTAGCCCTTGCTTCAATTTTGAGCCCCGAAGTCCAGTTTTTCAATTTTTGGTGCATCTAGCTCTCTTTTTGGGCCAAATGCACTGTTTTGTCCTTTTCCCTCTTTTGTTTCTTTCCATTTTGGGCTGCCACCTCATTTCGGAGCTAGCCGTTTTGAGTTGTCCCACAAAAAACGGCTAGTTCCTCTCTACCATGAGATCTGATCTCAGATCCATGGCCCAAAAGAAAACCGGCCACTTCCTTTTTGCATTTTCTCTTATTTTCAGCTTTTTAATTCAGATTTTATTGAGATATGGCCCCAAGGGGGATATCTCTTCAATCCGGATTGCCCTCCCACTTTCTAGGAGGGATGAGGTCACTGTTAGGACCTGCCAGTCCCTACTGTGCAGGTCCCAATAGGCCGGCACACTCTCCTCCACTCTTTTCTCCCTTTTTGTCTCATTCTCCCTCCTTTTTCTCTCATTTTTCTTTCTTTTTCTTTTATTTCTGTTGTGACAAGTGTCAAACTGCTGTGCACCCTCTTTCTAGGCCCTAGGGCCTCATTCAAGGCCAGGTTTATGGCTGTTACTTGGCCGTTACATCTCGGATTCCAATAATGGCACTCCTATGCTCCTAGGGGGCTCCATTTTGCTCCCGTTTGCCCAATTTTGAGCCCCTTTTGCTCCAATTTTCTAAGGGCAGCCTTTTTTTCATGTTGAGCCTCTCAAGGCTTTATTTTCTTATGCCTTGCTAGTCCGAGATATCCCGGACTGTTGGGCAGCCTTCCTGACATCCTTATTTCACTTTTCTTTCTCCCATGGCTCTCCCACTTGCTCCCACTAGTGCTTGCACTAGCGGTGCTAATATTTTCCACCGTCTAGATCCTCGATCTCGACGACGCCGTTTGCTTGCACAATTATTCCTTGTGTTTGCTCATGGTTCCCTTGGGACATCCCAAGTCCCCGCAATTTTCTAAATGCTGGCTCCATTTCTTTGTCCAGCCGGCGGTCCTGCCGGCGCGTGTCCCGTTTTTCGATTTTTATTATTTGGACCCATTTGGTCCCCGACAACATTCCGGACGGCGTCCCATTTTTATTTTTTTTGGGGCCCATTGCCCTTGGTGGTCCCATCATTTCTACATGTGTGCCGATTTTTCTAGGCCGTGAGATCCCATCTTCCGGTTGCCGTTTACCGTCTTTACTTGCCCCTTGCCGAAATTGCTCCTTTATAGCCTTCCGGGCTTGCCGTAGCCCATTCCCCTTTGGCCTTGGCATCCCCACGCAGTCCGTAATTTCTTGGACTGCGGTCATGGCTGTTTTTTATATCCACAGCCCCACAACTTGCCCCATGTTAAAAGAAAATGAAGCGTTAAATTTTCTAGTGCATCCGGGCTCAATATTGGCTCCGGATGCACCTAGAACATGTGTTTTCTCTCCCCCACGCAGTCCGTTGCAACTCGGACTGCAATGGGGGTCAATTCCTTAGCCCCAATGCCCTCCGGGAGAAAATCGGAGTAGGAGGGACCATTGTGGGAGAAATGTAGGAGCAAAAGGAGGCTTCCATGGGCATGGGAAGGCCATTATTGCAGTCCGAGAAATAACGGACTGCACCTTGGGCTCCGAGGCTCCCGTAGGTGGCCCCCACGTTGGCCCCTCATTTCCTGGCTTCCCGCGGTCTCTGGCCGCCCATCCCTCGACTTCCTCATTCCCTTACTGCTGTCGTGCTGCAATTGCTAGTTCAAAGGGCCCTTTGGCCTTAGTCTTATTGCATTCCGATGGCCCTCCCGGCCTCCTGCTACGTTCTATGTGCCCCTGCTCTTGCGCTCGCTTGCTTGCCGTCACTAGTTTTTTCCTCCTGTGGTTCTCTCCTCAGGGCATCACTCCCTTTGCGGCCTAATCTTTTGTCTTTTCTCTCTCCTGCTTCCTCACTCCAGATTTCTCTGTTGTGCACAATTTGTCCGTATTCAATCTCTCGAGTGATGGGAAGTTATTCGGGACCCACCAGTCACGACACCGGTAGCATCTACTCTGGCCAACAAAGAGCGCATGTTGGTGGAAGATTATGTTAAGGACGTGGTCTACACTTTCTCTTATCCAGGAGGATAAGTAAATTATTGCATTTCATTCCTCGTTAGTGACGATCTGCCATTCGACATGTTGTTAGGCATGTACTACCTTGAGGTTGCCAAGCCCCAGTTTGACTAAGACAGAAAAGTGTTGAAGCACGAGTTACCTAATGGGAGGACCATCAGACTAGCCAAGTACAAAGCTAGTACGTTAATTAACTCCTATGGGTGTTTGTGCGCATTGACCTTTATAATTATTATAAACAGAACCAAGAGGAAGGTATGTACCTGGTTTTTGTCTCTTCCAAAGGGGAGGCCGTTAAATCACCCCCAGAGATAGAGAGTGTCGTTGCTAAATACCCTGATCTGTTCGAGGATCCCACATGTGTCGTAGACATGGAGGTTGTCCATGCCGTAGAGATCATCCCTGGGAGCAAGATACCCAAAGGGAGAATCTATAGGACGGCTCCGACCGAGTTGGACGAGCTTCGTCGGCAACTAAAAGAGCTCACAGAAAAGGGTTGGATACGGCCTAGCATCTCCCCCTTCAACTCATCAGTCTTATTTGTACCGAAGAAGGGGGGATCACTAAGGATGTGCATTGATTACAGGGGCCTCAATGCCATCGCTGTGAAGAACGCAGAGCCCCTACCGCGCATCGATGACCTATTGGATAGGGTGTAGGGATGTAAATTCTTTACTAAGATAGATTTAAAATCCAGCTACCATTAGATTGCCGTTAGTCCGGAAGATTAGCACAAAACCGCATTTCGGACCAGGTACGGTTTGTGTGAGTTTGTGGTGATGCCCTTCGGCCTTTGCAATGCGTCGGGTACATTCTAGCACGCCATGAATAGGATATTCCATGACTACTTGGATAAGTTTATCGTCGTGTACCTTGATGACATTCTTATCTTCAGTGGAACTGTCGAGGAGCATGCCCAACATGTAGACAAAGTGCTTTCTCTCCTCCGGCAGCACAAGTATAAGATAAATTTAGAGAAATGCGAGTTCGGTTGCACTAAAATCTTGTACTTGGGTCATGAAGTATCCGGGGAAAGGATTAGGCCTGAAGATGCGAAGGTGGCTAGTATTAGGGACTGGCCACGACCCTAGTTTGTGACTGAGGTCAGATGTTTCTTGGGGATGTGTGGTTATTACCGCAATTTTGTACAAAATTCTAGTACGATCGCATCACCCTTGACTGATCTAACGCGCCTTGACACTCCATGGCAATGGACAAACGCATGTGAGGTTGCTTTTAAGAGATTGAAGCATGCCCTTACACATCATGAGGTTCTCATGGTCCCCGATCCTCAAAGGCCATTTGTAGTGACGACTGACGCAAGCCAGTACGACATTGGCGCAGTGTTGGCTCAGCAGGAAGGGAAGAAGTTAAGGCCGATCGAGTACATGAGCAAGAAAATGTCATCGAAGAAGTTGGCGAAGTCCACCTATGAAAGGGAACTCTACGCCCTCTACAAGGCACTTGTCCACTGGATACACTATCTGTTGGGACGATTCTTCTATTAGAGGACTGACCATCAGACACTCAAGTGAATCAAGACACAACCTGTTCTCTCTGACGCACTCAAACGCTGGATTGAAGTCAAAGATCAGTATGACTTCAAGCTAAATTACGTCAAAGGAGAGTATAACAAGGTTGCTGATGCATTGTCCCGTAGGGAAGATTACCTAGGTGCACCGATCTTTGAGTTTGGCTTATCTGACGATGTCACTTGATTCTTGGTGGAGGCCTACAAGGAAGACCCTGTCACGATGAACATCATTCGCAAACTCGAGGCCCAGGACAAGGCCACATCTGATGAGTTTGTGATGGTGGATGGGTTGTTCTTTCTTGAAAAGGTAGGATTCAAGAGGCTAGCATTTCCATCTAGAGAAATTCTGCGTAGTTTATTTTTAGGTGAGTGCCCTGACGCAACGGGTCATTTCGGATACAAGAAGACTTCTGCTATTTTAGTACAGCGCTTCTGGTGGCCTAACATGCTTGACGATGCGAAGACTTACGTACAGACTTGCCAAGTCTGTCAGCGGGACAAGCCGCGGACTCGAGCACCGCTTGGGTTATTGAAGCCCCTACCCATTCCTG